GCAGGAAAAATTAAATTTTTTTCTTTTCATTCGAAGTCGTTGCTCATCTAACATGCCTCTGTCATCTATAATGTATTGCTTATTCATGAGAATTTATTGTCTTTCGTCTGTAACTGCGGGAGGTCTAGAACGAAGAATGGCTGAAAGTCGGCTTTGAGGTCGTATCACTTGCCGTAAAACTTCTTCTTGGAAAAGAGTGCTAGAGCTCATACAAGGTTGTCCTCAACTGGCAAATGAGGATAGTGCTACACAACGAAGCTGAAAGAACTGTCAGCCTGAGAGTCGCCAACTTTTTATAAATAATCTACCCAAGGTGGGTCGAACGACCTCAGAAAAAAGCCGACTTTGTCTTGCTTTGCTTTCAAATTGAACACGTTGCCACTGTGCTGTCCACGTTTGCCTTCTTCACTGACCCTAGTATAACTGGGCAGCGGTTCCCAGCGTAGGGTTCCTTTGGTGTTTCACCATTATTTCAGAAGGTCGAACTTATGGTTAGAGGAAGTCGCTTTTGCTGTCAGAACTCCCGAATCGCTTGAGCTAGGCTACTGTTCCTGGTGGATTTGCTAGCACACTCCACCCAGTCTACAACACTGGTGAATATGCAGGACGATCACTGAAAGGAACTCTAGGAAATCAAAAGGAACATGATGATGTCAGATCGTGTTCGAGGGTGATTCGGGCACAGAGCATGTGAGACACAAATTCCATATTTCCAAATCTTTACGACTCTACGGAAATGCCTACATTCCATCATCTCAACAAGTCGGATGCGCTCTGACACATAGCGACTACTTTGTCCAGATCCAATCTCAGTGGCGCTGGGTAGAGCAGCAAGATTGCCAGTAGAGGAGTAGTTGGAGTGTGGGTCATCTTCAAATGAAAAAGCCAAATCCGGAATAGAGTGAAGGAGTTCCCGCCGATGCCGGTTGATCCACTATGTTGTTTGGCGTTTGAAAGACCCTAATCAGAAGTGATGGAAGGCTCAAAAATACGTTCCAGAAAAATTGATGTAATCTCCGCGTAAAGCAGCTTGTGAATGGGTTGACCAAATGCTTAGGTAGGATCATGTGGGTGCCACTTCGCAAAACATCTTCGACGCCTTTCCCATTTTCTTGAGTTTCTCATAGCAATAAATGTAAAATGATTCATAATTATGGGAAAACTGCTAGCTTTCCGCTTTTCAAAACTGTCTCGTTTTTTCAAAAACCTTACGAAATTAGAGAGATATTGCCCTTTAAGTGGCAAAAACTCGCATGAAAATTTCAGCATCCTCGACGCTGCCTCGACGGATTTTGAGAGACTATATCTCTTTGAATGGAAGGCTTTCATAGCAATTCCAATACTGCCTGATAGAAGCAAATCTAGCTCTATCTAAGGAACAAACCGCGCCGCAGCTCCGTTGACCCTCGGGCCGGTGTGATTTTGCATGTGCTCTGTTTAGGAAGGTCGTGGCAAGACCTCAATTTCGGGGGGAGGCGTACTTCTTCGACTACGTCCTCGACACGATTTTCACACCTGACCAACTGTACGCCAAGAACGCGTCATGGAGCAGTACGCGTGTTGACGTTCTTCAATCTCTCCGCACCGTCCACACCGTCCACACCGTCCGCACGGACCACAGTCCGCAACGGCGCAAAGTATGAAAGCAGTCCTATACAAAAACAAACCCTGTCACTGTTTTTGCATCCTAGCGACTAGCAGGCACGCTATAATTAACCGATGAGGGCAGACCAAAGCGTGGAGCCAGTCAGACCAGAAACGGCACATACTTTGTGTTTTCTAGGACTAAGCTCTTGAAGGAAGGAAAGAAAGAGAAGCTGTACCGTAGTGATGTAATAGCGTGCATATGCGAGCGTTCTCACAGAACACTAGAAAATGCTGAATCCACCAAGCCTTCCGATTGACCGCTGCCCGGACGACGTTGAAATGCTGGCCTAAGGAACCGACCTTTCAAAATAGGAATAAAACAGTTGACAAATTCGCACCATATCCTCTGCTTCGCGCAGGCTAATGGTGCTTTCGCGAATTCTTCTGAGGAGACCATTCCGGCTGAATGTTTCTCGTGGCCATCTTTCCATATTTAGAAGAACAGCTTCTGGTTGGTGTATTACAATATCCGGTCCCTCAGCGACTATCTGAAAGTAGCAATAGATCACCATTGTCAACGCAACTATAGAAAGAGCTCACATTAAGATCCCCATCAGTAACAATCGTCGCGATTTCCACCAACGTCTGTTTCTCGTGATTCAGGCCTGTCATCTCACAATCAATCCATATCAAACGTTGATCTCGAGCAGCGAGTTGCGACATTCTTCAGATAACTGCAAAAAACATCTTCAATGCATTGAACATTGATCCAATCGCAAATAGGGCTAATGACAGCCGTGTGCCAAAGTGAATGAAAGCTGTGCATGGCGCTACCTGCGCATAAATAGTACATGACTATGAGAAGAATAACACTAGCGGCGCCAGCTAAAAACTGAACAGAAAAAAAGGAGGTTAACCGACGTAAAGAGAAACTGCCTTGAGTACCTCCGCCTCAAAAAAAAACAGAGGGCGAAAACTCGGATTTGGGGGGGAGGGGGACGTGGTGCGCGGCGCTTTATTTCGTCTGCTTCTTCCCAGGCTTAGTCCACAGGGACAGTTACTCTTTCGCCATCACGTGGCAGTTTCATAATACGGTGACTAAGCCTTGGTAGAGCAGACGGAAACAGCGCCACTCCACCGCGTGCCCCCCCCCCCGAACCCGAGTTTCGCCCTCGTTTTTTTGCCAACACCGTGCCCCCTCCCCTCTCCCCCCTCCGAACCCATGTTTCGCCAAAACGAGAACAGCGTCGGTGCCAGACCGCTAGGTTAGCTTTTGAAATACCCGCTGGTTAAGTATTGAGCGAAAATTTGGAAACTTCCAAAATCCCCACCCTTCTGTAAAATGCTCCCTATAGAGACAGAAGCTAACTTTGAAAGGAGCTATTTTTTTACTTCTGCTCCAAAACATAGCGAGCTTCAATTTCCAGAGCGCGCTTAGCAAGCACATTTCTTCACAGACCTTCTTGTACATAAAGGGGCGACGTGTAGTCACGCACGAGTATGAACGGTTGTATTTTGCCTTCGGCAGCACCATTTTGACCCTGCATTGCCCAAATCCTCTGATGTATAGGAGTGTTACTACATAAGACAGACTTCTTGTTTCTGAATGTCAAACACTCCCATTCGCTCAATTTACCCTCACTGGGCAACTCTCCCTCGAATAACATTCTTCAAAAAATTCTAATAGGCACTGAGTGAGACTAAAATCTGTTTGCATCGGAAGTTTGACGAAAGATTGCTGAACGGTAGTAGCGCAGTTCTTCAATGCTCTCTCTCGGATATCGTCCAAGGCTCTATGAGTGCCCCTCTTCGATATTGCTATGGCGTACTCATCAGGAAACCATCTGGAAGCCAGCTGCAAAAGAAACAATTTATTCAAAAACGCTTATACCGTGAGAACTAACCTACCTCCTTGACCGTGGAAACGTCGACAATACGGTAGTGAAGATGCTATCAAGGCGAGGCATATATTTGGAAATAAACCTACGCAAAGATCAATGAGAAGAAAAATGCTCAAAAATATCAACTGATCAACATATTCACCTTCTATCAAAGTGAACGCTATTTCCCGCCAGAGGACACTTTCCCTTTACTGTCACCTTCTCGAGAAATTTCAGTACCTGAAAAAAGAAATAAGATGAAAAATACATAAAACTCCTTGATTTTTTTAAGAGCAGCGGCTTCCAGCAATTCGTTAACAAGCCCACTCACGGCGAAAGTATTCTGGATCTTATCCTCTTTACTTCGCAAAATATCTCCAAGCATATCAGTTTTTCCGCCTTTTGGCAGCTCTGACCACAGTGTTGTCTCTTTCACCGTGTCCATGCTACATCCATCGCTGGAGTTACCTCCAACTCCTGACTTTCTCAAAGCTAATTACGAACTCATAGATCGTTATCTACAGCATATAAACTGGTTCGCTGTCTTTGAAAACTACACTTCTGCAAGTGACGTTTATAGAAGATTTTGCTTTCAAATCTACAAGGCCATGTCGATTTTTGTCCCGTTTAAGTTCTCAAAACCGTCATGGCTGTCTTATCCACCCCATATTCTTAATCTGATTGCGCAAAAGCGCCGGCTTTTTATCTCAGCGTTTCCCCTTACAAGATCCTGAGTATAAACGGAGTGTGCTCAGACCTCGATTACCATATCAAGAAATTCACAGCAAACCAGGAAAGACCTCTCCTCACCAAAGCCAAACTGAAAGCGCTCTTTCATTACATTAGGCAGAAGACCATTTACCGCCCAACTCTTCCTCAATCAGGCTCCACGTTTACTACCTATAAGCAGAAAGCCGATGCTCTAGCAAAATATTTTGCCAGCGTTTTCTCTACTGACATCGCCAGCGATGAATTTAGAATGAGCGGTTCGCTAGAAACCACGCGCAGGCTCTCTCACGTTTTCTTTCATCCCTAATGAGGTTTACCACGTCCTGAAGACTCTTAAATCGTCTATTTCAGAAACGTTTGATGGAATCCCTCAAATTCTCTATAGGAAGTGTGCACGTTCGCTCTGCCAACCGTTAGCTCATGTGTTTAATATTTCTATGCTTGTTGGGGAGGTGCCTGCACTATGGAAAGAGGCTATTGTCTCGGCTATCCCCAAAGTTGCCAAAAGTCATTTGCTGTCTGATTTTCGCCCTATTAGCATAACACCTTCTTCAGCCAAGGTCATGGAAACACTAATCAGAGACAAACTTTTGCTATGGCTACAAAAACTCAAAGTAATCCCGTATGAGCAACATGGCTTTCCTAAGTGGTGCCTCAACAGCGACTAACCTCCTTGACAGTCTTTTCGATTGGTCAACTGCGCTCAACAGAGGTGAAGCCGTAGATGTAATCTTTATAGACCTCTCTAAAGCGTTTGATAGAGTATGCCATTCCAAATTACTCAGCAAATTGAAGCATCTCGGCATAAGTGGGCAGCTGTTGAACTGGTTTACATCGTATTTGGATTGTCGGTACATGACTGTGAAGGTCGGTCGCAGTTTCTCTGAGAGACACCACTGCCTCAGTGGTGTCCCTCAGGGTAGCGTGCTATCACCTCTGCTTTTTCTCATTTACACCATTGATCTTCCTGCTTCTATCAAAACATCAGTGGATATCAAGGTACAAATGTATGCCGACGATATAAAGATCTATGCTGCCTATAATAAGGATAATAGATTAGCAGTTCAATCCTCACTGAAGCAATCATTGATGAAAATGAAAGAGTGGGCCAGCTTGTGGAGCTTATCTATCAACTTTGACAAGTGTTCAGTTTTCCACATTGGAGTAGGATATACCCCAGATTACGACTTCAATGACGTCAAGCTTGAAAGCTCCAATATCGTGAAAGACCTTAGGAGTTTATATGAAATCAAACCTTACGTTCCGCGATCACATAAAAATTGTGACTAAGAAAGCTTTAGGTGTTCTCCACCTCATCTTTCGTAGTTTCCGTAGCAAAGACCCCAAAGCCCTCGTTAACTTGTACAAAACTTGTTGTGATCCCTCACCTGGAGTACTGCTCCCCCATTTGGAATTCTACCCTCAAAAAAGATATAGTACGATTAGAAAAGGTACAACAAACTTTCTCACAAGGCTACTTTATCTGTGATGCTTCTTCAACAAAAGCATCGTGATTTACCAAGTTATTGATGAACGCCTGAA